GAGCGTCCTTCTTGAATCGTGATAGCAATAGCGTCTGGGTCGGCTATTTCCTCTAGCTGGCTAACCTCTGCTGTTAGAGATCTAGATATATAAAACAAATTAGCATAATTATTAGTATGAGATTTTAAATTTTATTTTTAATACTGACATAAGCATACCACCGATTTGTGGAACAATCTCTACAGTACCGTTTGTATGCAAAAACATAAGTGGTGGCGTCCAGTAAGCAGACATGTCTTCAAGCACTGCACATGTCGTGCACTTAGACTGAACAAGGCTATCGTAGGACGACGAGAAATCTAAGTCTAGACTAACGATTAGACATTGAAACCGCAATCTCATGCTTAACGTACTCTGTGCTCCATGAAGCGTGTGTGCATGTTGGGAAGGGAGCCCTTCCGAGACGATTAGATCAATTCGAAAAACCCCCAATCGAGAGTAGCAAGGAGGCCGCCAAAACGCTCTAGTAGTTAATGCAAACACGCTAACAAGTGAAATATAGCGGATGTTCATCTTATAGAGCTGTTTATATTTAAGAAAAAAAGCTTAGATTTTGATCTACAAGGTTTGATACACTTCAGCACAGTCGCCTTAATATAACTCTTCCTAACACTATCTAGAAGTGAGGGCTCTGTTTAAGCCTTTATCTAACTGTTTACCCTCTTCCACTTTGTGAATTGCGCAGGGTAAAGAAGTTGCTGTTCTTCAGTCAAGTCTGCATACGTGACATCTTCCGGCAGTTCAAAAAGTTCCAAGAAGTCTTTGTGAAACTGTTGCTTTAGCGACATTCCTGGCGTTTTCTCAACAGAGGTCTTCTCTAGTTCTGTCTTCGGTAGAGGTGTAAACTGACGTTGTGGAACCGGAAGTTCCATAAGCGTCGGAGTTACTGAGTGTTCAGTGGTAGCAAGCAGCGACTTGGTCCGGCGGGACACCGCTTTCGTCTCGTGTTTCAGCTTACGGAGTGGATCAGGTCTGCCTGGAATGTTGCTCATCCATCTTTTCTCAAATTGATTTTCAATTTTGACAGCAATGTTATAAATAGCAATTGATTTTTGCCGGTCATCGATTCCCTCCATCAGAAGTTTCATTGTTGACCTAGTTTCGTGACTGAAACCTGATGTATTTTTAAGATTATAATGTTCATAGAGATCGGGATTTAGATAAACAAAGCAGCGGGTATGTGGTCGTTTTCCTTTGAAGTCGGGAGCTAGTACCTCTACCTCGGCGTCATGTCCAACGCCCATTTTGGAGTCCCAGTACACTAACAAAATCCTTACTTGGCTAAGTATGTTCATAGGAAGTGCTGTTTTTTCATCTCTATGATGTTGCACAATCTTCTCAACAATGCGATTGCTACCTTGGGTGACATCTCGTTCTTCCTTATAGTCGGACCCATTCGGAAGAATTGATTCAAAACGAGCGCTTAAACCCTCCTTAGATCCAAATCTAACACAGTATCGAGTCCGAGAGCTTCTCTGAATGTGGCCAAACACTCCTTTGGGGAGATGCTGCAGTGAAGACTCCCCGTGAGAATCATTGACATCGATGTTCCATGTCATATTGAGATTATCCACAAGTTCCTGAGTAAATGTTTTTGACTCTTCTGCAAGCTCTTGTTTCATTTTACTATGTCCTGATGAACTTTCTTGATGACTTGCATATCTCTTCTCAGGTTCTAGCGCGTGAATTGCTGCATCTGGCTGCGTGGCAATTGGCTCGTTGGCAATTACCTTCCCATGAGTCATATGATCAGTGTTACCTGACTCTGTATCAGTTTCAATTGGTTCACCATCCATTGGTTCAGTAGATCCAGATCCAGCTCCAGTAGTATGGTTGATGCTAATTTGGGCCGTGGCACTAGCATACTTCCCCATCTCTGTCTTTATCTCTTTCAACTTTGCTTCGTCTTCTTCGGTAAACATTCCCTGGTCCCTTGTCTCTTCTAGTTTATCATATTCTTCTTGGAGCTTTCTGAGTTTATCGTCATGATGTCCTATCGTACTTTTCATGCTCTTCGTATTTTTCGTTTTTTTCATACCTTTCGTATTGTTCGTGTTTGTGGTGATCTTCTCACCCTTGACATTAGTTTTGCTAGTCCTAGTGATAGGCATTATGTCTATAAACAATAGATTTTTGAGAATGTTTCCTTGTATCGGGAAACTTGTTTATATATTGCAGAGAGAAATTAACACAGGTTCAATGAAATGGTATAATTGAATTATTGAAGCACTATGCTCAAGGGCATCATGTTATAATTCGAGGGACACCTAACATTAAGACATTTTACATCATTTATCAGTATTATCTAGCAATATAAGCAAGTTTACAATGCCTCATATATTCAAAATACTTCTGTAGGAGTCACATGGCGTCCCGGAAGCTGACATAGTAGATAGTCACTAATTTATCTTGCTATCCTAAAGAGCAACTATGTAGTTACATCATGATGAAATATTTTAAATATGACCATTACTTTTCAGCTGTTTTCAGCAACTGTCCTAGGAGTACTTCCCCCTGATTGAAATCAGGAATAGGTGGCGTAGACAAAAGTCCAGGTAAAGAAGACTCAGTTTTGGCTAGCAGCGATTTCCGCAGTGCGGGCTTCCTGGGGAGGAAATCTTTGCTAGTCCTTATTACAGGAACCGGATACATGGACTCCTATTTTCATTAGCTATGCCCATGTAACAAGATATTCCATAACCTGCAAGTTGTGTAGAGGATGGTGGCCAGTCTATTCTTGTTGGACTTGAATCGTAAATATACAACTGACCGTTCTCCTTCTGAATACATATCCACACCCCTACTTTGTATCGGTCACTTATTTCATGACCACGACGAATAAAATTATTTTTCCGTTTCCGGAAAGACTCTTGCTCCAATCTTCTAGACTTCATGATGTAATAAAATGCACATTGCAGGACACTGAGCCAGCTATTTATACGCAACAAGCCCGCACTGACCATTTCTACTACAAAGTTATATCAGTAAGCTTAGACCCTACGTTTGACGCATCTAGATATGGATCGCCAATGGAGCCCCTCAATTTGGTACTCTATGCTATTCTCAGTGCTTATTGCCTTCCTCATTCTATGTTTTAGCACTCGTCTAGCGTTTCAGTGGCTTGCGGCACTCATAACAGATGCTATTCTCAAGTATCTAGTGTACTCTACTACTAGCCTATTTGGAATATCCAAATGGCGGATATCAGCAAAGGATGCAATGTTCCCCCTACTATATGTGAGCGCCAATGGCGTTTGTATGGGTTGGGGTGTAAAAGCGGCCAAAGAGCTCAGCAGCCGGTCCGCTTCGATGCTTGCAACAAATCTTATACTTCTTCTCCCCGGCTCGAACGTAGCAGCTGATATTCTGCATATGTCCTTGAAGGTATATAATCAAACCCACAGTTTGATTGGACTGGTTGCTCTGATACAAACGTCTATTCACGCTGGACGAGAACTCACTGCCCACGGGTGGACTGACAACATTAACACGATAAGTGGGATAGCGGTATGTGTATATGTATTGATGTTTGTAATATATTCTTATTCACCCAGATATTCTGCTGCGTGGGACTAATGAGTGTTACTTCTCTCCCCATCTTCCGTCATCATGCATATGAGATCTTCCGGGTCATTCACATCAGTTGCTCGACATCAATATGCATATTTCTATGGCTTCATGTTAACATATCAAATAAAACAGGCCGATTGCAAGTCATTATAGCAACATGTATATGGATAGCGACGTACTGCCATAGAAACTTCCTCCTTATATATCGTAATCTTTCAGTAAGCAAGCCCAACACAAGTGTGTCTGTTGAGAACTTTCACAACACTCTCCAAATAAAGGTCAAAGTGCCCAGGCCTTGGAAAATTCAGCCCGGCCAGTATGTCTACCTTACTATGAGAAGACCCGGATTTTTCTCTATATTGCAGCGCCACCCTTTCATGGTAGCAGACTCAGAATCAGACGACCACGACTTCCAGTTGCGTATTCAACCTAGGGCGGGTTTCACAAGTCGACTCCTTACACAGACCCTTTATAGAACCAGGGAGCTTAGTGCTTTCATAGAAGGGCCCTACGGGCAAGGATTCGACCTTCGAGACTTTGGTACAGTGGTTCTATTCGCTAGTGGGATTGGGATTGTTGGCCATCTTGCCTATGTTCAAAAGCTCATACGCGACCACCAGCAATCAAAAACCAAGACAAGAGATATACTTCTAATCTGGCACGTAGATGATAAGTATCAGCTGGATTTGGTCTGGGAGGTTATGAACATTATACTGAGAAAGGACGATCTTCCAAGCACTGCAACGCACAAAGATACTGGTATTACGTCTCGAAGTGGAAAGAAAGACCGATACTTGGGCGGTAGTACCACCGGAGAAAACCCAGGAGTGCGACCTGCACCGCATGGAGACAATGCAAGTTGTAATGTGACGATATAGTTTTAGCAAAAGCTAATGCTTCCAAGATTATAGATGTTTATATCTACGGTGACTACGAGATATTCAATGAGGCCGGGAATGCAGTATCCTACAGGCGGACAGGCAGTCGGATTGCTGAGGTAAAAGGAAAGCCAGATGTGCGGCAAATTATCAACGATGTTCTAGAAACGAGAAATGGAAGACTCGCAATCTGTGGTAAGATTTTTCATTCACTGTCGCTACACTAAATAACCTGAGCAGTATGCGCACACTGGGAAATGAGGTGCCAGGCGCGAGAACGCGTTGCTCGTACCAGCCATAAGCAAGTGAGATATCTGGAGCTAGATTTTCAACCATTTGAGCTGAGGCGGCACAGTAAAAGAAGACACTCTTTGCCAATCCAATGCCGTGGGATCGAAGGTGCTTAGATAGAAATGAATCTCAAATCCACCCGTCCATCGACATGGTAGTTTTTTTTGGGCTCTTTGATGCTCTGTAAGGCGTTATGAAAGCTTCAAATGCTTGTTCCTGGTCGTGACTGAATTGATCTACTGCGTCTGAGACTGCGTTGGAAAGGTCTCGGATCTCGTCGAAAGCGATTCCATCAAGTAAACCAAGAATGCATGCTTGCAGTAAGTCTTGAGAGATTCTGTCAATCTTTTCCTTGAACTTTTCTGCGTGCCGGTAACATTCCCGGTAGAATGTAAGCTCGAATCTAAGTTCCCCATTTCTGCGGTTGAGGAAATCGATGTAATGAACCATGTCTTTGGGCTGCTTCGATTTTTGCATATAGTGAGGTTCCATTTCTATCGCGATCGTCGTACCACCATAGCACCTTATAATATGGTCAATGTTATTAGCTTCGAGAGGTCTGCCACGAGGCAGCTTTCTCATTGCTGAATCCATAATAAAATGTGAAGCTGAATGGGAGTCAAGTGGTCTTAAGTTCGCTGTGTCAGCGCAGTTACAAATGTGCGGATGGTTTTTTATATTAAGCCTGCAGCAAGCTCCTAGTTCACAAAGTATCAGCTAATATGGATTCTAGGCGGCTGACGATCTTTCCAAGTGCGACAAATGGCGCAGAAAACGCAAACTCTATTAACAGAAAGGGTGGCTCTGCTGAGCCAAGAGCCCCGAAGCGAAGGCTTCATATCGAAGATGGACTGATAGAGCGTAAGCTCCCAAAGCCTACGTTAACCCTTCGAGCAAAGCGCAAAATCTTCGCACCACTTCATAAAGATCCTGGAAGACACTATCAATGTATACATATCGTGGATCCGGAAGGAGAAAGACCTTATTGTTTGGCCCAAGAAATAGCCTCAGATGCTACTGAGAACGGATACCGGGTCGTGATGATTCGACGTAGCCCTGATAAATCCGTTTATGGCTTAGAGGATCCGAACCCGAATCTTCTCAATATTGTATCTGTTTTTAGTTTTCAGGGTTCTTTGTTCACCGTCTTTGATAGACCTGGCCTTGCATTGTCTGAGATTGCTGTGTCTCATTCCCCACCGCTGGGATTAGCTCAGGTGAGAACAATAAGCGTAGAGGTAGGGCAATCGCACGTTCAATCATTCATGGAGTAATAATAGTGTAGGCACTTTCTGGTATTTGCGCAGTGTACACTGCGGGCCTTTGCTTGCCTTCAATTAGTGTAGAAGATATTACAATTTCAGAAAGTAATGGTCGAGTCAAAGTTGGTAAGTATCGAAAGCTTCGCAGGAGGAGTTCCAACCGCTAAACAGCACGTAGCATTGGACCGAGCATCTTTGCAAGAAACAATCGCAGGTGATAAGGCTGTTGCCTTTGGAAAAATGCTAGAAAGCCTTGTGTCCGTTGTTCCGGGTTCTTCAGCCCTACAGCAAAGCCAGGATCTCCATGCTTTCATTCACAACGCCGCTGAAACATCATATCAAGAATTAAAGAAGGTAACTACATTTTGTTGAAGTCATAGTATAGTACTAAGATGTTATAGGATAGTTTTTTGAAAAACGCTTTGCCCGCAGCGTCACTGATTCCTTTTGTCTTGAATGCACAGGTCATAGTGTTCCCGGTCGAATATGTAACAGAATCTGTAATAACTGATTTGGGGACATCGTAGAAATAACGTTGAAGTAAAATTGCGATAATATATAGATACTCAAACATGTTATGATGAGAGAAGTTACTGGTTCTTCCCAGCTAATGATTTTCCTCGTCGAGATTTCTTTCGTCGTCCATCTTCGGTAGCAATTTCGAGAGCCTTGTCCAGGCTTGCGACCTCATTCTTTCCATTTTCGACTTGTTGGGATAGGGTTTTGATTTTCTCGCCAAGCTCCATGTTACGGTATTGGAAATCCACATTTTGATCCATAACGTATCTCAACTTGGCGAAATCGTCATTCTCCGAATGCTGACTAGAAATTTCCTGCACAAGCAGAGCGTTCTTGGCTGACTCTAAAATCATCTCACTGATACTTTGGCCATTCTGTGAGCCCTCCACATCGCCTCCAACCAGATTGGCTCGAGAGTTGTTCAACAGGCTTTCGGCTCGCCTAGCCACCTCATCGGCGAACATCCGAGATTCTGTTGCAGATTTGTTGAGATCTTCTTGGACCTTCGTGCAGCTCTCATACTCCTTTAACAGCTTGTCGTGGCATTCTTGTAGCTCGATGAATTGCTGGTTAAAGAGTTCGCTTGCCTTCCGTTCCTGTTGTAATTCTTTCTCTATCGCTAAGATTTGCCGTCGTGTATTTCCTGTTTCGCTTTGAGCCAACTGAAGGTGTTGATACATGCTTTGTAGCTGGCTTTGGCCATGACTATATAAGTTAGTCATGTATACCGCAACCCTGGCACAGCATGCTTGGTTGCAAGAACTCATATTTTCCTGCTACCTGAGGTCAATCATAAGATAAGTACTTTTAGGAGATGACAGAAATACCTCTGATGATTGCATTGTTAACTCTTGATGTGGCTGTGACTGACTCATTGTAACTGGTTAAGGCGAAATGCTTGTTCAAAGGCGGGGAGTACTTGGGCAAAAAACAGACTAAATACTCTACTAGTAGATGCTTTTTTCTGAGTTTTTATAATAGTAACGGAACTGGAGAAAGATTATGTAGTAGGTAGTCAAGCATTTACAGTTGCGGAAGCCAAAAAGCGGGACTGCGTCAGCAAATTACTCCACGCCAATGACTAGGGCTCCAGACCTAACGCACTTCTACATTGGGCTGATTTGTACTTTTTGCTAGCGCTTAATACACCTGACACATTAGATTATGAGTGGTACGCCCTTCTTCTAATCCGCTAGACAGGTATTCCTCAGATCCATAGGATCTAGTACTGATTAAGAGCTACAGCTCCACTGGTCCGGAACGGTTCGGCCGGAAGACATCGCACTAGTGTTTGGAACTTCGATTTTACAGAAAAAAGGATTAGGGGCTACTAGTTGTTTCGCCGAATATCTACCAATCACATCGATCGTGAAGTGATCCATATATGATGCCAAGCCATGTACATAGAGAGCCAAGCGAAGCTCCGTTGCAACCGTGTGCGGGGTAAAGTCGCGATCGATAGGTGCTGCACGACCCCAGTCAAGACTACATACCGTTCTACATAGAGTTGACTTCTGTTAGAGATGGTACTGCTTAGTACAGTAATGCTCTGACTAGCAAGACGAATGCCGGATACAATCGGAAGCGGTGTACCATGTTCTTTACACTCAAGATATACTTCCGTAAACTTATTGCTTATAGCTTCTTTGTAATTCCGTATCAGCGGGTATAAGTGCTTGCTCCCTTCGCTAGATTTCTGGCTAACATCCAATCAACATGGCTTCCAATGATCAAAATGCATTGTTCTCTGAGCAGCCGGCATTATTTTCATCTTTAAACGCAATAGTGGCCACGGGGTCATCCACAACATTTAGTCCTCATCTACCGCCCATTTTAGAACGGGAATGGGATTTCAATTGGGAAGAGAATACGTTTCCGCTGTCAAGTCCCTACGAAGGCTTCGAACAAACCACGACTGCTATCAAGCCTGCTACCAACGACAATTCACTGCCTCAAACACACGAGGAGCTAACCGAGGTGCAAATTGAGGTGCGACAGCTGCGTCGTGATATCTCAGAACTGCATGAAATGTTCTGTAAGCGGCTAGATGATATAGAGAAGAGCGTACTAGGAGCTCAACGTTATGTCAATAATTTGGTACCGTGGTCAATGGAAGTTCACGAGAAGTATTCACAACTATTAGCGATAGCAATGGAGCAAGAAGACCGAGCTGCGGACAGGGCTACATAATATGCTTAATAGACAAGGCTTTAGAAATCTTACCATGTGTTCCTTACTGGCTATTATTCGCGTATGCACGTTCTAATGATGATTTGTAAAAATGCATTATAAAAGATCGTATTTTACAATCCACTTAGCACATTCACATCAGGAAATTATCGAGCAGCAATGTAGCTGAAAATAAATTAAGTGACTTCTGTTTGTCTACGACGTGCTTGTTCGTATCGCCTTCTTTCAACGATACCGTCATCAAGAAATCGGCTATAGCCTTCGGGATCTGCTCTCTTATGCCGCGATCTCGATAGCATCTGCCGCAGACGTTGAAGAGCAGATAGTATCGTCTGTTGAGCCTTCATATTTTAAAGCGATCTCGAAAGTTGAATAAGTCAACGAATGAAACAAATATGCTCAGATGGAGCGTTCGATTGAATGTATGAGTAGGTATGTGTCTAAAGGTATCATGTTGTTCTGTTGCTTATGTTGCTGAGAGCGAGTTTAAATACAGCATAATCAGTCCGTGGATAACCACGCCACTTTATATGGTGCCCTAGGTTTACAGGACTTTCTCGCGTATGATTTTTCTTTATTCGAACTAGAAGCCTCTATTTATGGAACTATTGCGCAGTGTACATGTGTAGTTCATTGGCCTTTTCTTAAAGTGAAGTTAGGGCGCCGCCTCTTGGAGATTCTAGTTTTCAAAGGCATTGCCTTTTTTCTTTTCCTGCTGGTTTTACACTGACAACGACTCATACTTACAGAGTCCGTAACTTGATGATCTGATCTCCCAAACTTAGCGTCCAGCTGCTGAACTCTTGCGAAATGTGAAATCGATTGCGGGAAACCACTGATTCTTGTTTGGTTAGATTGATTAAACTGCAGGTAGATAGATTTGCTCTGTTCCGCATGGTACACTCTGAGCTCGACAGCCTTGCAGTAATGACCACATACAGTGCAAAGGCTGGAGCCGCCAATATGGCCCAAGCTAGTACCATCTTCCATCGTAAAGGAGGCATCTGGGTATTCCTGCAGAATTCTTTCAACTAGCGCACGCGTGTCCGGACTACGGCAGCGGATAGAACCAAAGCATACTAGCAATGTTCTATTGGCAGTAGGCTTCTGGTGGAGTTCGAAAAAGAAAGCAGCGGCAAACAGTGCCTGCGCGATACTAGAAAAATCGTAACCATGAAGAAATGTCGCAGTCAAGCTTTCTAGATCTGGTATCTTGCTAACATCATCTAGCCTTGGCTCTGTGCTAAGCGCTATGTTGATACGGAAGTATCTGTGCCGTTCCTCGAGAGGGACACGATTCAGGTGGTCCTCCCAGCTGTCTTGGGCACTCAGCATGGCGTTGAAAAGGCGGAGTAGGCGCGAGAGGAAACGGTCACGAAAACCCAGTCTGCTAGAAACTATCTTTGGTGGCTCTGAATCTTGAGCAAACCCTGTACCTATTGAGACAGCTAGGTCAGGTGTATTGTTCCAGATGGCTTTAGCCTCCCACTCTGCGGGGCCAATAGGATTGTTATGCTTTCCTGCACCGCCATCCTGTAAAAATCCAATGCCCTGAATAAACTTTGCTGGGAAGTAGGATGGGGCAGCTGACGTAGCCCTAGCTCTGGATAAAATAAGCTTGAAAGCTAAGAGAAGGAACCATAACCTACGCATCGCATATAAGAGCCTCCTCTTTTAGATGAGTAGCTCGGTAGTGTCGGTAACCTGTATTCGTCTATTAGTCTTATATCCAAAGATGAGATATAGCCTTTTACCTTTTCTTACTCCAACTCCATTATAATTAGAGAGGATGCACAATCTCGAGTTAGATACGGCCATTGTAGTAACTGCCACTTTGGGACCTGATATACCCGTGTTCGATGTATTAGAGCCAAAAAGGGTAGTGTTTGATCCGAATGCTTCTTTCACGCATGCTTCCATCTCGGCAGCCCCGTAGAAGCTATCTGTAAGTAGTGAACATAGAAATCCATATATATTTGCGAACAGGGAATTTCCAAGTATTGAACGAGAAGCGAAGACACGTTCAGACAGCTGCCTGAAGATGTCGATGCACTCGTCCAGGCTCCGGCGTAAGAGGAACATGAGTACAATAAGGCCACCTACAACTTATGATGAGTGGTGGTGCTATCTGCAAACGTCGAGATAGGGGAGAGACTTACCTGTACTTGTACCCAATATCAAGTCAAACTCATCGTGGATAGGATAAGGAAGTTGTCGATACCTGTCGAGAGCTTGTAGTATATGTAGCGTGAGTATTCCCCGGATACCGCCTCCGTCAAGAACAAGCAGGCGGCTGCCGGCAGTCGGTGGTTTTAGACGAACTGTCAGCTCGCTGTTGGAATGGCACAAGATGCATTGCGAGATACGGTATGAGTATTCCATTTGCTGCCCTTTCAGTCCAAATCTGCAAGCACAAGAATCACAAAGCGCGTGTCCACAACGCAAACTATGCTCAGGCTTACGGAAGATGCAATAAAGGCAGACTTGAGAGCTTTGGAGCGTGTTCCAATCGATGGGTATGTCTTGTAGATTTCTCTTGTGCATTTGCACCGCTGTAAGCTCGGCTTGCTCAAGTTTGCAGCAGAATTGGCTAAAAAACACTTTCAACTGTGTACATGAAGCTGTTGGCGAGAAGCCTTGTTCAGACGGTAGTGATGAAAAGACGCCATAACAGTGAGACTGATATAAGCACTCGAAGACCGAGGACGGTTTGAAGCCTGTTGGTTAAGATTATATCGTGATAGCTCAGCTTGGAGTACTTACGATGCATACCTGGCGGAAGGCTGTCCAGCATAATCGCAGAAGCAATGTGCTTCAAGGCAGCCTCTTTGCTTACGTGATTGGTAGTGCATAGAACCAAAAAGTGCCGTAGATTGGCCCTAAGATTCTTTTCTATTCGATTGCGTTGCCGTGAAGCGATGATAAAGTTGAATGGTGTAGAGGCGCACGTAGCAACATGTTCTAACGCCAACTCAAAGAAGGCATTGAGATGGGAGGCTGAATACAGCGTCTTAGAGATGTCCCTACCTCTCCTTACCATTTTCATACTAGAATTGATGACCTTCTTCAATGTGAAATACCTCGAGGCAGACAGGGTCTTGCGGCTTTCTTTCGGCAGTACTACGCGCTGAATACTACTAAATATGGGAAAGCTAAGATTTCCCCTCCGCTTGTACGCGCGACTACTGACAAGAATGACCTGTGGCTTCCAGTCTTGTGACACGCTACTATGACGTCCACATCTTTGTAGGAAATGGATCCCTTCCTCAGGGGTAGAAAAATCATCAAGGAAGATACAAACAACATCAACGAATAAGGTCAATAACTTGCCAACCATTATTTCCACAAAAGTCTCTGCTGTGGGTGCGGATAAATGCTCTGACAACCACGTGACTTTGTGAAGCAAATGTCCATTACGATTTTGCAGTGGCTTCTGCTTGCTGCAGGCTTTCTCAATATCTAGACTCGCAACTTGGAGGGGATATTCATTGTAGGATGTCGAATCGTCTGCCTGTAATTGTGCAATACCGCGTGACCTCGAATGAGTACGCCCTTGTAGCAGCGCCTGACGTGCCGCGTCTTTCTCACGCTTGCCAATTAGCAAGACTGTAGAAGGAAACTGGGCATGAGGATTGCGAAAACCAGCAGTCGTTCGCTGTAAGGCGTTCCCACACGCTAAGAACCAATTAGTTCCACTTTGAAAGCCGTATAGCCAATCTGAATAATCTTGTGGCGGCATGATTACACGATTTAAATGGAAAAAAACTATTTCTCTCATGCGCTGAAGCCTTGTCCGTGTCGGTATAAATAGGTTTCTGGGATAAGCAGGTTCTTGCAAGACTCACTTTCAAGAGGGTGCTAGCAATGACACATTTATAAAGACGCTGAACCTAAGCTTATACCTTAGAAAAGTCAAAATATGAGTAAACAGCTTGAAAGATTCCGATACTACCTTGGTACTGCTCAAATACGTTTACTGAATCTGTGCTATAATGCATCTGCCTCGGATCCCGACGATTGTGTTGGGTGCTGCATATCTGATGTAGAACATAATTTACCGGCTTTAATTGGGTATTCTGAGTACCAGAACTTTTTGAATGAAGCAGGTATCTCCAAACATGCGCTTTATGTTGTTGGTTATCCGCCCAGGCTTTTTCTTTCCAATGATATTCAGTTACCATGCCTTCACGGCCGATTCCGATTAGAGACTGCGAAACGAGATAGATCGCGAAATCAAGACGATTGGTGGCTCGTGGATCTCTACAGTTCAGGTAAGAGAATCACGATTTCCCACGAAATCAGCTGCTGAGCAGTAGATAGACGCACCTACATCTGCGTTGGCTCAAATTCGCCAATCATACATGCGACATGTGCCTCTATGTGATGGGGAAAAGTTCCTTCACATTCAATTCTACGAACGTAAGAAAGATTACGAGGTCGCTTTAAGGTGGAAGAAGTTACTGGGAGCCAAGGTGAAGAGCCTTCATCAAGTTCTGCGCAACGACTGGCTCCGCGACTGTCTTGAAAAATTAGAGCCGTTTCGCTCCCTATGGATGGGCTTTCAGCTTGGATGTTTTCCATTGATTCTGAGCTGGCGGTGCAGCCAGGTACGGGTCCCCTGAAACCAAAGTGCATCGGATCGTTTACCTTTCTAGGAAATTGAATATTATCTAAACCATATCTATGAGATCTGGCATACAATTACAGATGGAAACACCCACCTCTGTGATGAATATACTGTTGAAAAGCTTGGGGGCCTTGCGCCTCTATGGAGTTCTCGCGATCGTTCAATGATCGAGACCTTGTTCACCACATGTCAGGTCTTCTGTCGCGTACGCGATTCTGCTGTACGCGCTCAAATACTTCAAAGAGTCCTTACTGTCGAAGGTCTCATCTTAAACTTCAAGACGTTTTTTAAACACGTCAAGGTATTAGGACCGATTATGCTCCCTTTAAGAGAGTTGTTTCCAGCAGCTGAGCTATTCCCTTCCAGGGACGAATTCAGCCTAGTATCTAGACGCCTTCCCTCAGTAAGAGACATTCTACTTCAGCACTGCTACAAACAGCATGAGGATAACAAGCAACAATGTTTATTGCAATACAGTGAACACGATGAGCGCTTCTTCGAATGTAGCGATCCCGGAAGATATGCGTACTGGCAACTATGTCTTTATCTTTTTCGCCACTCGAAAAGCCAATGGAATTCTTACAACGAAGGAAAAGGCCAAAAGGAACAACTAGAGCGTTCAGAATGGATCATTCGACTTGGTCATTTTGCGCGTAAGCTTGGTTTTGCGTCTGCTGAAATCTCTTCTCTATGCAATCAAGATCCAAATCTTTCACAGATTCGTATTCACATGCTTCAAGAACGACCAAATCATTCGTTCTCTGTATCTGCAGAAAAATTCGAGGCAGAAGCTCATTCCCGTCGAACTGGCCAAGCGATCTTTGAGCCTCGCCTGCCTGCTCTAACTCCATTGATGACGACCGATAACGCGACTACTATAAGGATAACTAGGAGCCACCCCGAGCTATTTCTTCCCACAATATGGACTGCTCTTACCCAAGAGCCGAGATACGCTTTGACAGAATATGGAATGCTTGTGTTGATTTGCATGTCATTCTTCGAGAAGTTTGGATCAGCATCTATCAGTAGTATCTGCGAGGGCTTTCAACCGACCCAACCGAACCAACTGACCCAAACAGCCCAACCGGCCCGACCACCGTTGCGTTCTTCCTCTATCTACTCGGTGCCCGTATATCCGGATTATCTGGCTAGGTCCCACGGTGGCCGCATTACATTCTGGCATCTGCCCCAGAGTCGGAATATGCTTCCCCAGGCAAATCATGTATGCGATATAACTGAAGATGATGTTAAGAAAGTAGTAAATAGTATTCAAACGCAGGGCGACGCGCCTTTGTTTGCTTTGCTTGATACTGGTGGGCTACTTAAGCTCTGCAATCCCTCTCAGATTTTGCATCGCCGTAAAGGATCTAAGCAACCAAATAACATATACTATGTATATGGCAAGAAGAATAGCAAGAATTGGATTTCGAAGCAGCTCAATAGCAGATAATCTAAATCTTCTTCCATTACGTGTGACAATCAAAGTGCCTTGGATCAACGAAGGCGATAGCATACCTGTTTGCTTGACAGACATTCTTGATTCTAACTTTTGTCAAATGATTCATTATCACATTTATCAAGCCGACATATGCCCGTAGCGTCTCGGGTGAGACAGCCGATGTTCAAATAAACTGTGGCACAGTAGTATTGACTTCAAGGACCACGTAATCCCAACTCTTAGCAAGTCGCCACATGCACGATTGTGGCACAGCACTGACACGCAGCTATTATCATAAGTTTGCATTAGGCGCATATAATGCCCCTCTACATGATTTCTTGCATACTACGCGATACGCGCTTACGGATGATCCGGACACAATGCAAAGGTCCAGGCAACGAGTGAAGCAAGCCTGCAATCGGTGCCGATTTAAGAAAACAAAAGTGAGTTCAGCTACTGAAAATACGATTGGGTACAAGACTTACCTTAGTATTGTGTGATGGGGAGCGTGTATGCAATAAATGCCGAAAGGACAATGTATTATGTGATTACAGCCTAGATGTGGACCACCAGCGAGATAAAAGATCTATGTAAGTATTACTAAGAGCAGGGAAGTGGTGGGTTCAGCCAACTCACATTGCATATAGGGTAGTTCTCCTCGAGGAACAGAACAAAAGGTTACGAGATACAGTACAAATGTTGTACGAATGCATTCGAACTGGTCGCAACATACCAGCACTGCCTGCACGGAGCCCGGGAGACGATCGCCCACTCTTACAAGACATTGTGGCATATGTCGATACATTTCCTGTGTGCAAGGAAACCACCTCCGACCAGTTCCAGCATCAGGTTACATTGCTGAGCACCACACCTACTTTTTCTCTACTACAACCACAGCCAGAAGCCTCATCACTTCTAAGCCTTGCTGCAAGTGAGCTTCAACAGAGCAGCTTTATGGCGCCTCCGATGCAACTAGACCTACCATTAACAGAATACGACGTAGCACAAGAGGACCATGATCTTCTAGGAAGCAGGCTGGACCTACAAGAGTTTTCGTCATTTCCGGGGGTAGACCCAGCGGAGGCGGCAGCATTGCGTCGATGGCTATAGTCATACAAATTATGGGCGATGTAGTCTCTTTTGGCGTTGAGAGTGGGAATCCAAGTATCTAGGTGAAGGTAATGAAATCATATTGCACCAGTATCTTGTGTGAAGTTTTCGAGTTCTAAGACGTCTCCCACGTAGAGCATATGCCCTTACACCGTTCTGGCAGAAGCCACAGACTCATCATCCTCGAATTCTAAATAGCCATCAGGCAAGTTTTCCATAGGTTCGCTGTACGTTTCCATATTCTCAAACTGTGTGCTGCTACTAGAAACGCACTCCAGGTCCAGATCATCAGCATCCACTTGTTCCCTCGCTATCTGGCTGTCTTCTGCCATCTGGACGTTTAGACGTTTGACTTCATGGCATGTGTTCAGCTTCAAGACCTCTTCTGTGGGCTTGTCTCCAGCTTTCAGAGCATTTCCCATAGTAGTGCGGACGTAATGGCTGATATCGGTAGTTGCTTCCTCGATTGCTCCACTAGCGTCCAGCAGCTGTTCTCTCTGAATATCTACAGCCTTTCGCAAACTTCGAAGTCGAGTATTTATTTCTTGTAGGCTTGGGTCTTCCTTCACGATCCATATAGCTAAGTCATTTTTCTCGCGTAGAAAGAGAGCTTCGCCGGAACCCGGCGGACTTAACAACCTGCTTGCTACTTCTGAGCGACATGCTGCACCTCGAAGCATCAGATTTGCTGTGAGATTTAGCAACCCCCATCGCGCTTGCTAAGACAAACTACATACCTAACAGTATAACACAATCTGTATCCTGACTACCGGCAAAATGCTCAGTAGGCAATGGCCCTAGTTGAAGTGGACGGACAAAAAAGACATCTTGGAGTAATTGATGGTACTTAGTAGGGCCTAAGACCTTAGCTACGCGAAGAAGCATAAGGAGTTTGGGCATAGAAATCGTCTCTGGCCTTAGGGTTTGTGTGATGAAACTGTACGCTACGGTGTGGTGTACGCGCGACGTGGTGGGGATCTTGTATCGTTGAATGGCGTCGGCCATATTCACAAGCGTTTGCAGCGATATGTGAGATTGCGGTATAAAAGAGCCATGAGCCGACTGGCACATCAAGTAAAAAGCTTCAGGATCTTCGTCAGGGAGCTCGATACTCTTACGCAACGTGCCGCTTTGCGTGGTGAAAAGCTTTTTGAACTCCGGTGACGTTTCTGACATGACTGAGGAAGAGACGAAAAACCGAGATTGTTGAATCTGAACCTCAATGTCGCCTTTCTCGTGTAGATTCATGCTGAGATCTATTATGGAGGTCATGGTAAAGCAAGATGAAGGAGCTTTTTTCATTCTATTCGTACTGTAATAGTATATATAGTGATTGAAAATTGTGGAATAGAAAACCCAAGCTGTAGCGATCAGTCTATGTGCGCCCTCGTTGGCAGCTCACGTCAATGTTCGCAGGGCCACTAATTGGCGGAAAGGTATGCCGTTGCCTGGCTTTCTCGGATGCCGGCCTATTCTGTGAATCTCAAGAGGCCTCCCGTCAAACGGAATGCTCACATGAGACGATCATTTGTTCGGCCATTTTCGTCTATTCGGCTGTACTTTGGCGCGGCAAGCCGGCCCTAGTGCATACGCCATCAGTCCCCAGCGCTTGCAACACCAATAGGAACGATATCCGACTTTCCCAATTTACGCACAGCGGCAATTATGGTCATTTTCTTCGTCAGTCTTCCGTTCGAACCGTTGCATCCCGAGCCCCTGAATTCGTGCAAGGATTCCTGAAATGGCTCTAGATTTGCGCGCGCTATAAGACATGACTCAGGTACATATGAGGCGATTGAGCGTGAACGCACGATCTGTGCATGCGACGGTGGAGATCGTTCCATAAAGTTTACATTACACATTTATATTATGTATCTGAAAGCAATGGTTACAACTACTAAGTCCGTACAGAAAAGATCCTAGAATTTTGTTCCCGCAATATCTAGTTCAAGTAGATCTTGCCTGATGCAGTTATAGTTGCGTCCGTATCAGATATTACCACGCTTTTTAGCTCTTCTCTGAGTTCCAATGCTCGAGCAGAGCTCATCCCGTTATCATCGCTGGGGATGCTAACCACTGGAATTGATGTAAGGGCCTTGTGGAGAAAAGGAGGGGATGGCATTGCCTTCTTGGCTAGGCCCTCGCTGAGCGCAGTGGGGGAAAAGCTCAGCAGGGGATTGAACGCTCGGGAAAGCAAGCGATGGTATATTACAGTTAGTCCTGTAGCAAAAAGCATAAGGCATGCCTGTCCAATACACTTAGCATTACCCTGCGAGTCTCGTACAACAAGAAACAGAGCAATAAGACAGACTTGCATTAGATACAAGCCCATTAAGAGATGTTTTATGGCTTTGGGATAGAAGAGACCCCCGTGATCCCGTTCAGTAGTCAGAATACTTGAGTTGGAGTAGATGATCCAGAACAAGCTTATAACAAGAACCTGGAAAGGAATGACAATCGGAGAGATGATGACGTAGAGAAATCCTGTTAATCTTAGCATGTGCTACTGGACGCAATTCTTCGAACCCAAGACCCACCGATGCAGGAGAGGTTTGTAAAGAGAGGTACGAAAGTACCCCATTGTAGATCCTGGCCCCTTCTTCTCGTCATCATCTGAGTGGCTGATTTATCAAAAATCGGGCCAAGTACAAAGTCTCCTATTAAGCGATCAAATCTTAACAGAGAGTTCGCGCTAATTGAAAGAGCCTGTAAGAGTATATAGGAGAGGAAGTAGTTGCTTGCTTTTGGTAGATTCTTGGCCAATGTCCCAGCCAGCAAAGCTCCATGTTTCATCTCGTTGGCAATAGTGGTAAGTCCTGCAGACAACGAAACTACGAGAGTAACTTGGAGAAAAAGGAAATAGAAGTAATAATCTTGGATCTTGAGGTCAATGTGGCTCTTGGAAGAGATGCCCTGCTTTTTGACAAGGTATTCTAATACGACGACGAATCCTTTCATTAAAACGGCCACTAATAATGGAGGCAGTACACCCTGGAGCAGACTCAGGAGAAATTCTGGAAGCTCATTAATCCAGCTAAGCCAAGGCACCGCCCGGGTGATGTAGATGATTTGGGAGAGGAGCCCTGCCAGGGCTACTGGTATAACGCAAGCAGTCGCCATTGCCATAATAAGCATGTTCGAAAGGACAGTGCGTATGGTTCTGTCCTTCCAGGTGATGTTGACATTTCTCCATATCACATCATCAGCAGACAAAGGTATCGTACGGGGTGTCATATAACCTGAGCTGGTATGAATTACTGTTTGACACGCCATGTTGGCGGCCAGTGGATTGGCGAATGTAATAAAGGCGGATCGCAATAGGGGGAATCTCTCTCGTGTTGCGCGATGAAATTCCATCTCTTTACTAGTTTTAAGAAGTTCCTCCCTATACATTATGCTGGTATCCGCTTTTTCACGTTCTAGCCAGGCGAAGACGTTGAAAAGGCTGCGTGATTTGTAGTTTGCGGGTCTGTGTTTTTTGGGAAAGTTTGATTTCTTGTCTCGTTTCTGAACGCCTGCCCTGTAGGCCTTCCTTATCTTCGAAATCTCCTCTATCTCGAGAGATCGAGCTAAGCGTTCCCGTCTCTCCGCTAAACGGGAAATTAAGCTATAGTCACGATTGAAGGAAATTGCAGTAACTACGCCAGGAAAGATCTCCAGCTGAGATGTGAGTGCCTTCTCGGACATCCAATCGTCGGGTATGGATTCGATGAGTACCGTGCACAAAGCCGCGTATGGTGAGTTTTGCCGGATCGCAACGTAAAATGCAAGCTCGTTCCAGATAACCCAGCAAACATGTACGATAAAAAGCAAACCAAGGATGAGATGAGCCCAATAACGATCTGCCTGATCAAGGCCAACATTGGACCACCCTAACGAATCAAGTCCACTTACTCCAAGAACCGCAGTTTTCCCCTTAGTGTAGTTCAAAGGAATAAGAATGGGTGGTATAAGTATCAAAGCGGGAGTAAATATAACAGCTAGTGATCGTAGGTACCGGCGGAAGAAGTATCTATCAAAATGGTCGTGGTAGTGGTCAAATCGAATCAAATTGGTTGCAATGTACACACACACACAATTTATTTACGCCCGGCGGCCGAGCCGAAAGGGCTGCTAACGCTAGTCTAGCTTTACACTTCCTATGCTCAATCTTGGTCTCCCTAGCCCATATGTCTTCTTTGGCCCACTTCTTTATATAGCTTATCGTCTAATTCT